CATTTATTAAGTAATTTTTGATGTCAATATAAAGAGGAAACCTTAAATAGTATTTGTATATTAAGATTTGCCAGTTGGAAAGAAACAAAAATCATTGCTAGCTCACAGGGAAAAATTCAAAATTTTAAGGTGTTTTTCCTCAAAATCAGTTTTTTTTTTTGTTGCTGCTGCTCAAAAAAATGCTTCAAAAATATTTTTACGATTATATTTCAGAAAGTTTATTGAACTGATACATTGATAAGGTATTAATTCATTATATTTTGACATAAGGCAATTTTTGCAGATGTTTAAATCAAAACTATATCTGCCTGTTTCTCCTCTCTTGGTCTTGATCCTGGTTTCGATGTGCCGGCTCACATTTATTGTGTAATACTAATATTAGTGGTTGAACCTGATGATGGCTGTAACAAACGGGTTGTTTTTGAAGCTGCGCCTCATAGATTGGGGTTTGGCCGAGTTCTACCATCCGTCCCAGGAGTACAACGTCCGAGTGGCCTCGCGTTACTTCAAAGGCCCTGAGCTGCTGGTGGACTACCAGGTAACACTTAAAACCAGCCAGTACCCAGAACCCTCCTGGGCTGCTGGTGGATTATCTCTGTGTGTTGCAGATGTACGACTACAGTCTGGACATGTGGAGTCTGGGCTGCATGCTGGCCAGTATGATCTTTCAGAAAGAGCCGTTTTTCCACGGACAAGACAACTACGACCAGGTACTGGAGCACACACGCAGCGTTGCACAAGACAAATAAAAATAACAGCCACTGATTAAATTTATAAATCAAGTTTATTCTGTGCTGCTCCTCTGTGACAGACAGGGGGCGCTGTTGCTTCTAATAAGACAGGGATGGATGTTAAAGCCAGACCTGAAACACCCGTTTTATTTTCTCAGCTGGTGCGAATAGCCAAAGTTCTGGGGACGGACGAGCTCTTCGGATACCTCCGTAAATACCACATCGAACTGGACCCACGCTTCAAAGACCTGCTGGGACAGTAAGTGTCTGGAGCCGGTGCTGAACTCCAGCAGCCAGTTGTACATAGATGATGTTTGACCAATCAGAAATGTTTAAAGCCTGAACGTCCTGCAGTGATTACCTCAAGTCTTTCATTTTATCCATCCATCCATCCATCCATCCATCCATCCGTCCGTCCGTCCATCCATCCATCCATCATCTATACCCGCTAAGTCTATCACAAGGACACATAGAGACAAACAACCATTCTCTCTCACCTACGGACAATTTACAGTTACCTGTGAACCTAACAGGTCATGTTTTTGGTCTGTGGGAGGAAGAGAACCCACGCATGCATGGAGAGAACATGCAAACTCCACCCAGACAGGTCCCTGGGCCGGGATTTGAACCAACGACCTTCTTGCTGAGAGGCATCAGCTCTACCAACTGAGCCACCTTTCGTTTCATGTTTATTTTATTTGTACAGGGACAAGTGTCACTAATAATACCACACACTGAAACATTTATAGGTTTGGCTAGGGCTATTCAATTAGCGGCCTGCGGGCCGGATGTGGCCCGCGAGTGACCAAAATGTGGCCCGCCAATTGGTTCGTTGATCTTTTAAGTCCAAACCCCCGGATTTCAACTTCAATTACTTTAAGTTCTTTTAGTTAGACATAGACATGTTTGGTGTCTACAGAAATGTCAGAATTTTGGCTAGAAGCTGATAAAAAACATTTCTATGAATATTTAAGACAGGTAAAACTACAAGCAGTTGAAGATAAAACTATGAAAGTGAAAAAAAATGGTTTAAAATTTGGCAGGTCAAATATGTCAAAATAATAATTGTGTTAAATATGAAGCAGAATGTGTTATTTTTGTTTGTGATATTGTTTTACTATCACTACATTTATTACACAGGGTTCTGTATGTTGTAATCATGATTAAATGCAGCAAAATAAAGTATTTCAAAGATAACAGGTCTTTGTAATACTTGGTTTATTTACAAAATGACTTTAATTGCTGGATGTTCAGCTCCTGTGCCGTTGTTCTGCATTAACTGTGGCCCCCGGAGCAGTTTAGTTGAATAGTCCTGGGCTAGGCTAAAGGCTAACATGAAAATAAAATAAATGTTCATAGAAATGGTTTTTATCAGCTTCTAGCTTCTGTAGACACCAAACATGTCTGTGTTTAACTACAAGAACTCTGTAATTAAAGTAGAAAACTGAGGGTTTGGGTTTAAGAGATGAATCCTACCATGTAAAAACTTGGTTAGTTGGACATTTTTTGCAGTGTGGATCACATGACTAAATCTGATTCTACCCGATTTTCAAAAAAATGGCCATATCTACCACCGATACGGATACTGAGTATCTGATCCCTAGTTTATATTATAGTTTTTAAAAAGGAAGCTTGCACTTCTGCTCCATGAGTTACTGAGCCTGTAGTTCTCAGAGGAACCAAAAGTTTTCTAAAATCCTCATGTTTCTTAAGAAGATGACCGTGATGAAGGATGCGGCTCGGCCTGCCAGGATAACAAACTTTGCTGGACGATAAATAGTCTAGGAAGTTACTGCGATAAAGTTTGGTGACATTTGAAATGTAATTCTCTGCGCGTCGTCTCTGCAGGCAGAGCAGGAAGCGCTGGGAGCAGTTTGTTCAGACGGAAAACCAGCACTTAGTCAGTCCCGAAGCTCTGGACCTGTTGGATAAGCTGCTACGCTACGACCACCAGCAGAGGCTGACGGCCACAGAGGCCATGGAGCACCCCTACTTCTGTAAGCGCCGCAGGGACCGGTTGGGTTCCACCTTTTAGTTTTTCTGTTCTAAACGTGTCCTGTCTCCTGCAGACCCTGTAGTCAAAGAGCAGACTCTGTCCAACTCTGACAACAACATGGTTTCCAGCAGCAACACGACGGCGCGATGAAAGGTAAAGGTTGAGTTTCTTTAAATCCTCTGGACAGAAGCGTCACTCAGCTTCTCTTTCTGTCCTCAGACGTGGAGGGAAGAAGGATGTTTGTTACCTCAGCTCTGTACCTGCTCCTGTCAGAAACTTTGTACAGCGACGGTCCATCAGACTGACTCGGACCACTTTAACACACACCCCATCTCCTCTGTGTCGGTCTGTGATTGGCTCGTTCTGGTTTCCTGTCTGACCAGTGAGTTTGAAGCTGCACCCCACCCCCCATCGTCTCCCCTCAAAGTCTGGTCCCACGTAGGTCAACGACTCTTAAAGACAACTCGGTTCCTGTTTATCCTTTTTATATTTTGTCCTCTTTGGATTGCATCAGCATGGAGAATGAACAGGAGCGTGTGCCTGTAGCCCCGCCCCCTCCCCTCTCCAGGTCCGACTGTCCCACCCGTCTGCGTTCATAACCCCGCCCCCAACAGACGACGGGCGTCTCAGCACTCTGGATCTGATGGCATGGTGGACTTTCGACATATAATGATAAATATTATAATATTAATGACAAATAAATGATTTTTTATTTAGATCCACTTTTCTTTGAGTTGTTTTTGGTTCCTCGATGTTTGCGATGCAGGATGAGACTTCTCACGGTTTGACCAAAACAAATCCAGCTTCATCGTACAACGGCGTATTTGGGCCATTTTGCAAAAGACAAAAATAAACAAAGTTAATCTCTGCCAAAAACGTCTGAATTTTTTTAGATTAATTTTAGAATTAAAAAAAAAAAGGACAAGGAAATCCTCTGAGCTCAAAAGGTACAATTC